CCTTAATTTTTCCCACATTCACAACTGTTGAAGTAATTATCAATAAAATTTAAATGTACATTCTTTGTCTTCATTTTTTACTAACTTCTTGTCATCATTGATCTTTCCTTCATCCACACATCTGGTAAAATTTTTGTTAAGATTTATTTTCCTCTATGTGTATGTTCCAATGTTTGTGTGTATGTACATGAGTGTGGGTGCCCATGACAGCCAGAAGACAGCGTAAGACCGCCTGGAACTGAAATTACAGGCATTTGTGAGCAGAAAAATGTAGGTGATGGAAGCCAATCTTGGGTCTTGGAGAAGAGAAGAAAGTGCCCTTAGCCACAGAGCCAGTTCTGCAGGCTGCATTTGTAGAGACCTAGCTTATAGATTCCTTTCTTCATGAACTTTGAGAGTTATATTCTAGCCAGTAGTGGAATCATTGTGAAAACTGTAATCTTCCAAAGACTGCCTGGTCCAGATGTCTTTAGACATATCTACTTCATATCCTTTCTCTTTGACAGCTATCCACACATCAAGGGAGTTTCTTTTACATAGGCATCCTTAAGCAAATGGCCAAGGTGTTTGCCAGTGTCTCTCCACATTGGATGAATCCACATCCCATTACTTTTTTTTAAATGAATGATCTAAGGGGCCTCCTCACAGATCTCAGCCTCTCAATCCTTGGGTTCCATCCATCCTCCAGAAACACATGCCCTGGTGCATGCCAAGATTGCATACCCCTTTAGATCTCTGTTGGGAGAGATGTTGGGCCCCAGTCCCCACGGAGTCTCTGTGAGTTGATAACCATAGGTGCATCCTGTTTTCTAGTCATGGCTTACAGCCCTGGCCTTGCCCCACTGGCATCAAGAACACCTCGGAAAACATGAGCTCTTACACCTGGGGTTTTCCCACTGTGACGTCTGTATATAAGGCTGTTCCCTCCCTGGAATAAAGGCAGAGACAGAGGAAGACAGACACACATTCTCCTAGCACAAACAACCGATGTCTCTGCTTTTAACTAAATCTCCAGGTTTTCGCCCTATACTTGGACTTAATCATGGTGTGGACGCCACAAGTGGAGTTTCCATTACACTTAGTAGTGGTGCGAGCACCACAGATCTCAGCCACCTTGTCAACTGCCAGCTCTCTGATTATGTGTCTTCTGCTCAGAAAATTTGCCTACATCTGCTGGACTTTCACCTCTCAGAATTTCTTCTATTAAAAAATAAGTTTCATAAAGAAAAAAAATGAATGGGAATGTGCTCATTCAATATAACTCATTCAATATAATTACCCTAATGCAACCTTCTGTTGGCTGTGCTTTATGTCTAAAAGTGTTATTTTGGATTGCTTTCCCAGAGATTGTAGCTATTTTTACAGCAGAAAGGTAAGCATGCGATTAGCTACTTTTCTTATCTATAACTAAGAGAGTTCCTCTTAGTAACTGAATGAATTTTATAATTGTATTGTTTTTGACAGCGCATATCTCAGATGTATTCAATAGATGCAGAATATCAAAATATATTCCAGCCCCATTTTATCTGCCTTGTTTCAAATAAGTATCTAATGGTAAATATTCATGTCTGTCTTGTTTTTGATGTGTTACAAACTAGCATTGACCTTGGTCCAGTTTATTTTCAAATCCAGTAAATATGATTTACATATTCCTCTGAAATGCCACTTGAACATTGGGTCTTCTGAACAAGAAGTCATCAAACTTAAAAACAAATTCCTTACTTTAATCAAATATAATCTGCTTACCAAGAAACTCAGGGCAATTCTATCTGAACTGTTTGTTTGTAGTTTGTTCAACACAAATGTTAAATTCATAATGACAACAGGAAGATTGTTTAGAATCATGATAAAACATATGTCACTTATGCATGTGTGTAAGCAAGGATGAGTTTTACACACACACACACACACACACACACACACACACACACACACACACACGGGGGGGGGGAAGAAATAATGTTAATCTGATAAGATATTTTTGATAAATTGTAAATATCTCCTTTCTTCTCATGACTAGTCATAGTTGATTTATTTCATGACTTATTTGGAAAACTACTCAGGACTGCCCTTAAACAAGAAGACACATGAGCCTTGGATATTTTTTGCAAACCATGATCAACAGAGCAGTGAATGTCTCTGGGTTCACCAAATACTACTGAAGGCACCCAGCAAATGGGCAATGTAGTCATATGAATCCATTTTCCTCCTCTTAGTTGTAAAACGGATACTTTCCTTACCCTTATAGCTTCCCCTTGCTTTGGATTAAAGGGCCCTGGGGTGGAAAAAACACTTCACACTGAACAGGATATAGTATTTGACTCACAGATGTTAACTTCCATTATTATAATCCACCAATTAGCATGGCTTCTATCAATATCTTTGTCACATTATTTGTGAGACCTTTGTAGATACCCAAATCCAAAGATGTTCAAGAGCCTTACATAAATGCACCATTTGTTTATGGCATACACATATTCCTCCATCCTTAAAACCTCTCTTGATTACTTACAATACTAAGCACAGTATAATGCTATATAAATAGTTAGTATACTGTATTGTACAGAAAAAGGCAAATGTTTTTTCCTTGGAGTCTCCTGTATCCTAGGTTGGCCTCCTCCTTCCTGTGTAGTCAAGGATAACCTTGAACACCTGATCCTCCTTGCTCCACTCCCCAGTGTGATTATGAATATGTGCCACCATGCTTTATACAGTACTGGGGATCAAATGTAGGACTTCATGCATGCTCAGCAGACACTGCCTTCTAAGCTGACTCTCCAGCCCCAATGCACTTCAAACAACTGGTTTTGATATACTGTTTGAATGTTTGTTTTGAAACTTTGAAAAACGTGTGTAGGCAATAGTTGTCTTTCCATCTGAAAGGTATGGAAGATTCTGTTATGGGAATACTGCTTACTATAACATGCAACATGCAACTCACCTAAGCCTGGATGCTTGTCTCTATTAAGTAGTCACACACCTTCTCAGGATTTTTCCTATGCCTTGGATTCTAAGAACAATGTTTACTTGTGTCTGTCTCCACTAAAGACATTTTTACCCAGAAAAGACAGACTCAAAGGTAACCAATGTACTCTTTGCCCTCTATTCCTCTACAACTTCTCCATATCAAATCTGTCTTTTCTGTTTTCCTTCTTACTCTAAATAGAACCAAAAATTATTTTGTTTCTTTTAACTTTGGGAAATTTTGTTTCATATTGTGCCCACCTGACCTCCCTCCCTCCCTATTACCATACCCTACTTGGGCCCTATTCCTCCCCTTCCCTTATTTCTCAGCCTTATTTCTCAGTCCCATTATTTTCAGCCTTACCCATTTCCTCCTTCCTCTCCCGCTCCCCTTCTCTTAGACCTTAGCCCTTTCCCTCTAGTCTTTCCTTCCTTCTTTCTTTCCTTTGTTTTTTCTTAGGATCCCTCTCTCTCTCTCTCTCTCTCTCTCTCTCTCTCTCTCTCTCTCTCTCTCTCTCTCTCTCCTCTCTCTTCCTTCCTTTTTTCTACCTAGCCCAAGTTAAACTTGAACTCCTGTTTTCAGACTGCCAAGCTCTGGGATTACAGGCATATGCTTTTATAAGAATGTTACATCATCTTTCTTTTTATGCGTTTAGGAAAAGCCACATATCACTGTGGGGCAGCCTCTTTAGTATCTAGTACTTTGTTATAGCTCTCTACTTTGTCCTTATTTAGTTAGGTGACAGTAGTATATAGTAAGCAATCCCCTCTCCTAGCTTCGCATTCCTCTTGAGTTGTATATGAATTTAAAAGCCTGGCTAGGCTAGTTAGGTGGTTTGCCAGAAATCCCACCACATGGGGGACGGGAAAAAAGATCAAGATGGAAGTTCAAGGCAGACCACGGAAGGGGAGAGCTAGAGAATCCAGGAAAAACAGAGAAGGAGAGAGGGGGAGGGAGAGAACAGAGGGGAGGGGAGGGGAGGGTGGGGAGGAGAGGGGAGAGGAGAGGGAGAGAGAGAGAGCACCTAAAGGTTTTATTTTCTAAGTTTAAAAAAAAGTGTGTGCGCATGCATACATGCACACAGAGGCGTCCTTTTCACTGGTGCTTCCGTAATTTCTCCTAAAGTGTAAACTTCTGGGGAGCAAAAGCTGAGGCGTCCTCTGCTACTTCGCTTTAAACAGACCAAAGAGAATCTAAACAGACTCTGGCTAAATCCCAGATCCTCCAAACACCATACTGTCCCCTTTAGAAAGGTTGCCAGCCAAGTCATGTATTTTCACGGAACTGAGGTTCGCTCATCCATTTTGGGGGATTCAGCCCCCCAAAATCGTATTCTTCTAAGCAATTGAAGGAAACCCATTTCAAATTTCAAAGGGAACACGAAACTGATCAAAGCCCGCCCTTGAAATACCGGGGCTCAATTAGGGAGTACGTGAGGCCACTCTGGGTCGGTGGACGCTCCTCGCCCAGGCTTCCAGCCCAGCCTCTAGCGATCCCACCCCAAAAGCACCCGGGATCTCCCTCAACCGGCTTCCCTCACCCCTGCCAGGCAGAGAATTCAGCCAAGCCTGCACGCGGGGAGCAGCAAGGCGCCTGCAGGGCAACTGGGCATGCTCAGAATTAGAGCAGGTTTGGGGCTCCAGCAGGCTGCTAGTGCGTTGTACCGAAAGAAGGAGAAGGAGCAGGAGGAGGAAGGGGAGGAGGACCGGGGCAGCAGTAGCCACGATCGCCACCACCAGGCAGAGGAAGAGTTCGTAAGGGAGGGACAGATCTCCTCCCACTTGGAGCGCCTTCTGCCTGCTTATGGAGAAAAAAAATATAAGATAAAGAAAAAAAAAGAAGAAGAACGAGAAGGGAAAAGTGAGCGAGGGCAAGAGAGTTAAACAAAAAA